TATTTATTTGAAATCATAATATTCTTAAAATCTATAGAATCTCATAATATTGTAGAAAGCATGTAAAATTTGAAAACATTAATTAAAAAATTTTTTTTTAATGTGACTGCATTATTTGAATTAATTTCTAAAAAATTATTAAATCAGCTAATAATGTATCTATTTGCCTTACACTATGGCTGTTTAATGTCTGCATTATTAATGATTTATTTAAATCTACTAGTGACTTCTCATATCCGTTCACTATAAGTTGTTTTCATGATACACTAATACTTCTGCATTATTTAAGTAATTTCTTTTATCTATCTATCATGCAATAAGTTGCGAAAAAATTTAAAAAAATGTTGTGAGAAAATCTATGTTGTTGAAATTATACAAATAAATAGGAATTGCAAATGATTTTTTTGTCAAAACTAAACCTTGTTTATTATCGAAAAAAAAAATAGAAGCATTAAAACAATTTATATACAAAGTTTTTTTTCAAAATACACTTGAAAATATTTCAGATTCAAACGAACATAATAATTGTATAATATGTCTATCTAAAATTAGTCCAACTTTTCAATATCCAATTATAATTTTGACGTGTTATCACTTTTTTCATGTCAAGTGCATTAATCGCTGGGCTTCTGAATCGAAATATACTTGTCATATTTGTCAAAGTAAACATTTAGAAAATACTTCAGAATCAGAAAACTTTACTACAAATACTAATCAGCAAGTTAATCCAATCAAATCTACTACCGTGAATACATCTATATCTATGGAATATACTCCAATTGAACCTACCACTATAAATACATCTACAACTATAGAATATACTCCTACTACTGTAAATACATCTATGGAATATACTCCAATCGAATCTACTACAAATACATCTATAGAATCTACTTTTATACCTTCTATATTAATTGCCAATCCCCATAATCTTACTACATCTACAAGTGATCCAGCTATATCGAGTACTAACTCTAACAATCTTGCGTCTACAATCGCCAACCCTAGTAGCCCAGCTATACCTACTGCTATTAATACCTCTAATGTATCCAACTCTGGTAATTCTACTAGGTCTACATTATCTACCGAATCTAGTAGCTCTACTGCTGACCTAAGAAAAGAAAAAAAATTTTTAGAAATTCTTGTGGATTTAATTACTCCTATTGAAGAAATATCTAGAGTTAGTAGTAGTAGCGAAGAAGAAAATAGTGGAAATGTAACATTGAGTTTAGTTCAGCTTTATAATAAAGCAGAACGTTCTCAAAAGCGTGCAACATTAGCAAACCAGGCTGAAATATGGTCCTGGTATCGATTTGCTGAAGCATTTGAGGGACAAGTAAATGAAGTACTACAAAATAACAGAATAAGTTTGAACAAAGCCAAAACCAGAGTCTATAGAGAAATATTAGCACATCGATCTGATATTACTAAAGAGGCTTTAAAAAAAAGTACACAAAGGGCCAGAAATGTATATAATTTGTTCAAAATAATTGGTGTAGATAAAATCAGTCGAATTAGAACACATAGGTTTGACACAATCTCAAAACTTACTGAACAACAAACTGAAACAATTATCCAAAGAGTAGTAAGATAAGACCGTCGTACGTACATGTATGTGTATATACCTAGTTGTTACCCTGTTTTTTTTATCTGTTATTCTACGTCGTACATACGTACATATATATAGTTAGTTAAACATATCTATTCTGCACTAATAGCAAGATAAGTATGAAAGTGCTACATTTTCGTCTCAATAAAATTAACTTAGTGAGTTCTAAAACTTCAAAAGTAATAGTAAAAGTAAGGTAAATTTATGTTATTCATAAAACTGATATTATTGTTCAAAACAAAAGTAAAAAAGAAAAAGTATTGATTAGAATTTTATATTAAAAGTATATAACAATTAAACTTTGATCAACGTCATTGTTAATAAATATCTAATTTAACCATGTGATATCGTGAACCAATTGGGGGTTTTGTTAGCATCCATCTGCCCTATTACTGTATTAGTCACCACTTTGCACATACAAAATTCTACGTATCAGGCTGGATACAAATCCTTATACAAATGATAGTTCTAAGTTTAATGATTGCTTAACTAAGGTAAATCCAGATTTTGTTAAGCACTAAATAACTTTAGCATTACCGGTATATGTGACAATAATTTTGTAAGGCTTATATACCAAGATTTTTTCTTTAAGTATCAAATTTTGACTTAGCATTTTTTTTTTTATTTAAAAAAATCAAGAGTCCAAGGTAAAGGAACGATCTTTCATGGTTTTGGAACTGGTCACTTCCTCCCATGCGGCTCTCCAGTACTTTGAGCCCAGTAGATAAATTTTTTACTTTTCTAAAAAAAAAAAAGTGAACCAAATTATTAATCAAGATTTTAAAGCGATCAAACTCAACTTTAATTACAACCTATTGTTACCGGAGTAGCAAGTAAGTTTTGCTGTAGCTCATGATAGAAGTCGTGATAATTCTAATGCAAATAACTCAACTTTAACTACATACTATGTCTCACTGAGTGTAGGAATAATAGCAGTCCAGTTTGGTTTAGTCTGATCCAGTCTTAAGACTTAGAGAAGGCCAAATTTTTTTAGGTTTCAGACTGGCCTTAAAACTAACTGTGGTCTGTTGATTCAAGACCAGACCACATAATATCCTACTCGTACTGAAAAGCAAATTTTGTAATATTTTACAGTAATTTATAGTAGAAATTACAATAATTTTCCAATACAGACCAACACCAGATTTTTAATTACTGGAATGATGAGTAGTTTTATGATGTTTTTTTTTTTTTGCAATTAATAAAAGAAATTATGATAATCTTCAACCTTAATTACAAACTATTATCACTGGAAGTCATGATAATTCTGATGGAATCATCCAGGGCAGCCTCCAAAAGCTTGGTAACGTATATTATAGGCATTGGATTACAATTACTAAAAAAATAATCTACAATGTGCAGATAAAAGAGAGCCAATAAATGGCACTAACTAATCTTATGTCACCAAACTTTTTGGGGCCATCCTGGATAATTCATTTATTCTGATGCAAATTAATTTAACTTTAGCATTTTAATTACTAGAATAGCAAGTCCTGCAACAGAATTTTTTATAGTAATTAATGCTAATTTTTTAAAAAATTCTCATGCAAGAGTCACAGGCAAAAAGCTAGTATGATTTTAATTTATTCAAGAAATCTTCGCATTTGTTTAGCATATTAAATAAGTATTAGTATATTTTTTTTCTAAGTATAT